ACAGCTTACTGTTCCGTATTGGTGGATTCCATATGGGCGGTAAAGTTGGGCGGGTAATATTCGACCCAAGTGTGATTAAATTCATGGCGCAAGGTGGGGCGTTTGTAGCTTAGCGGTTAGAGCATTGGCTTCCGATAAAGGCCTTGACCTCCGGCAAAGTTCTTCTCTGAGGCGCGGGTTCAAATCCCGCCAAATGCCTCGAGTTTTTTTCACAATTGGGTCAACTCAAATTAAGCAAATCTGCCAACTTTTTTCACAATTGGGTCAACTCAAATTAAGCAAATCTGCCAAACCTCCTAACAATTCATATTCCGATCAGAGACCAAACGAACCTGGTGTCTGAATTCACTTCAGTTGACAATTAAGTATATGTACAAACCACCACTGAACCAACGGACGCCCGCTGTGTCGACTGCGGTCAGAAGTACGCAGGTGACGAGAAAACGATTTTTTGCGGTCTCTACCGGCTGCAGGACAGAGTACGCGAGTCGCTATTTATCTCATGGCTCCGATCGGGACCTTTTGCAGGGATCTGCTATAGACGAACAATTAGTCACCTCAGCTGGTCTATCCTGAAACGTTTGCCTGACAATGTGACGCAATAAACGTGTCATCCCACCGAAAGTGGGACATCTGGATCCTTCTGAGATCAACATCGAGGGAGCGAGAACTCTACGCAGCTATAAAACTGCAATTAAAAAGTAATATTAAGCGAAAATGTTAACCACTTCGGAGTGTTGGTACATACTCGAAAGGAAAACAGATCCAACCGCCGGCTCGTAAATAGTATGCTATTCACGAAGCACACCGTTAAATTTGACTGAAAAATTGGACTAGTTTACAACATCAGAAGTTCAGAGAACCTGACCACAGCCAGACGCTTCGCAGTCAATATAGATCGGTGGGGGCCAGTTCCATGGGATTTAATAACAGGTCTTTAGCGAAATAAGAAGTCAATGCAGACCTGCTTGCCAGCACAGACAGCTGCTTAGCTTGCTAAATCCTTTAAAGGGTCTACGAGGCAATTGCAAAAAGGGCATTTACTGAGTGATAGACGTGTCACAGTCAAGGGAAGGAAAGTCGACAGACAATTTTTCTCGCTAGTTTAAAAGTCACAAATGCATTAACGCAATCTATGTTAATAGAATACTTACTTCCTTACACTTTACGACAAAACCAAAAAGGCACTCACTGATTTCTGATATCAACAGGCCGAATCCTGCTAAAAATCGACTAATGTCGGATGTAGAAATAACTGTTTATTAGAAC